CTCTCTCTCTCTCTCTCTCTCTCTCTCTCTCTCTCTCTCTCTCTCTCTCTCTCTCTCTCTCTCTCTCTCTCTGTGTGTGTGTGTGTGTGTATGTGGGTGTCGGTGCGGGTGTCGGTGCGGGTGTTGGTGCGGGTGTCGGTGCGGGTGTGTCACCATGTTTGTTTGTTGCTCACAAAGAGTTCGGAGGGACGATTGGGAATTCCACACGCCGATCATGAAGGAAACAATTGAAAGCAGGGAATTCAAAAAAGAAAATAAAGAGCCGCTGGTGTAAAGACTCGGAGGTAAAAAAACTGCTAGTGTGGTCTTCGCTCGATTCTTGCACACACACACACACACACACACACACACACACACACACACACACACACACTACCGCGTGCGGTAGTGTGTGTGTGTGTGTGTGTGTGTGTGTGTGTGTGTGTGTGTGTGTGCGCGTGTGTGTGTGTGTGAGTGCATGTGAGTGCGTGTGTGTGTGTGTGTGTGAGTGCATGCAATCATCAAACCCCTAAATCCACCTCCTCACCATCCACCACCCCCCGCAACCGTCATGCTAGTGGCCGATTCATTCAACATGAATGTCATGAACCAAAGGAACAAAAGAGGAATCCGAATAACGAAGAACAAAGGTCAAAACAGAATAGCACACAGGACTAGGCACCTCACACGACAACATTGAACTGAAATGCATTGTCCATGCTAATATCGAAGCCCATCACCGAATGAAACAAGTTCCCACGAAGAGAAATCTCACAATGAAAGCAATCATCAATTAACCGGATCAACCTTCCGCATCCTATCACTGCTAACACTTCCCGGATTGCTTTCGTGATGACACGGAAGTCAACACACTATGTGGCCACACAATATACTGGGCGCACGCCTTGCCTATCACGAAACCGAACACCCGTTGGCATAGATGTGTAAAATCTAGGTGGAGGGTCAACTGTTGCCATCAACGGGGCGGCACACCGGATGGGTCGCCGAAGTAGAAAAGCGGCATGGCAGTCGGCTGCCATGGACCGTCAATCAGCCCGAATGGAAGGAATTCACCATAGTGGCTAGCCGCCCCGCACGCCACGTGGCGAGATAACAACGTTCAACAGTAAGTGGTCGCGAAAGAAGCCATAGTAATCATGAAGGGCACCATCGCCACCTGCACACATTCACCACACCGGCCAGATGCGTTGCGTGCCACGTGGCGAGACAAAGACGCGGACACTCACTGGTCGCCGAAAAATCCGCAGACCCGTCAACCGCACCATTGCCACCTCCCCCACATTCACCACACCAGCCAACAGCCCCGTGCACCACGTGGCGAGACAAACAAGTTTGACAATCGGTGGTCGCCGACGAAGCCGCAGGCCAATCAACCACACCATTGCCACCTCCGACACATTCACCACAGCGGCCATCTGCACCGCGCGCCACGTGGCGAGACACATAATTTCGACACTCCCTGGTCGCTGAAGAAGTCGCAGGCCTGTCAACTGCACCATCGCCACCTCCTGAACCCGACGTGAGGAACGATATATGTCCGCATCTCCAAGCAATCATCCGGTCGCCCGACCACCCCACACCCAATTTCTCCTACACCCGGATCTCTCCATGAAGGTATCCACGACCAACAAGCGGTGGATCAAGGAATGTGTAAAAAAATGCACCCATGTGACCATGTCCAACCGCCGCTCGTGCTCGTCTGCAAGATTCTCCACGAGCTTGAGGACAATATCACCCACTATATCGATAGTCAACATCGCCCAATCATCCGGGATGAAGCTCCCTACCTTCTTCACCCATAGCAACACGTGCGACAACTGTCGCTTGCGGTAACTAAGTGCCACATCAAGGTCCACTGCCGTCTTCCCGTTGATGTCCACTAAGTAGAATCGGTACGACTTGAGGTCGATTTACGGGTCGAACACGCTTGTGTCCCGGTGGAAGAACATCTCATGCTCCTGTCGGCGCTCCCAACACATGATGCTCTCCCCTCGCACAATCTCTCTCCATGCCAAATGCGCCGCCATGTCTCTCTCTCTCTCTCTCTCTCTCTCTCTCTCTCTCTCTCTCTCTCTCTCTCTCTCTCT